GGGGAGGTGGAGGTAGGGGAGGAGTGGGGGGAGGCCAGGGAGCCCTCACCGTGATGTCCTTGGGGTTGTCCTCGTCCACCCGCCGGGGCTTCATCTTGGTATAGTCCACCGGCAGGTCCCAGCAGTCGCCCTCGCTCAGCTGGAAGCACCGGCTGCCCATCACGGCCTGCTGCTGCGGGGACATGGGCTCCAGGGGCGTCAGGACTGGGCAGCAGCTGTCCCTCGGCCTCTGCTTGTTCATGCTGAGGTCCAGGGTACCGTTCTCGTCCACCTCCATGTCGGGGTTCTGTGGGCAGAGAGACGTGTGAGCCACGGGCTCACTTCCCAGCCCCCGGAGGGAGGGTGGCTGTGCCGGGGAACTCCGCGCTCCCGAGCGGACCGACCCGCACGCCCGCCACCCCGCTCACCTGCAGAATCTCTCAGAAGACAGTTCTATGTTCCACCACCATCTTCTCCCCCACCCCACCTCTTCCCTCCAGCACTTAGTTTTGTTTCCAGTTCAGATGCCTATATGACCAAATGCATGTGTGTGTGTTGTCTGCACACGTGCTTATGAATGTACAGGTGTCCAAGGCACCCCTGCAAGTCTATGCATGTGCGCACACATGTGAACACGTATGTAAATATACCCACACAAGCCTTTGCATGTATGTTCAGGTGCTCACACGAACACATAAGTATGATCAATATGTTAGTGTATGCATGTGGAATACATATGTGTGCATAAATATGCATCTGCTTAAAGTATTCCTTTAGTTTTGCTGATGGTAATAGTTCAAGAAGTAGAGGAGAAGCTGGGAGGGTAGCTCAGCAGTAGCCTGGGTTCTAGCTAAACATGGCAAGTCAAACGAAAGGAGTTAGAAGGAGTGGAGAGAGGCTGGCCCTTCTGTTCTATGGACTCCGGAGTCGAGGGGGTGCCCACCCCGAGGAGTGGCACCTCCAGGCCCTGCAGCAACGGTCCGGCCTGCTGGAGGAATCTGCACCTCCGCCGCTCTGCCAGGAGGAAGCACAGTGGTGTCTTCACACTGGCCAGAGCTGCTGAGAGTGGACCCGGTCAGGGCAGGTGAGGGACAGTGAGCCTGGAGAGCCCCGTTTTTCCCATTGTTCTCTCTCTCTGGCAAAAATCTAGCTCCAGAGCTGGAGTGCGGCTGTGGGGTCCCCACAGGGGACCAGGGCCAGGAAGTCTTCCCCCGGTGGGAACTGCTCCATGGATACATCCTGCAGGGCCAGGCTGCCTAGCGCCATCAACATGCAGTCCTGATTTCAAGTTTCGGAAATGATGCTGCTGGAGTTGCTCTCTCATTCTTAGTACAATTTTGAGAAAGTAAAAAAGGAATGGAGAGGGCTTCCTGTCTTTTATTTTTGCTGTGGATTCCTCTTTCTGGCTATTTTTGGTTTTTAGCAGCCTGATCACCCCAAAAATCACTGTCTTGGAGCTGCTCCGCTGTCTGAGAATAAACAAATCAAAGGACAAAGCATTTGCCAAAACGTGGGGCTGCTGGCCTCTCAGTTCACACAGATGAGGCACTGTTGTGTGGGCAGCGTGCAGTCTTGGGTGCCCCAGGACACAGTGCCCAGCCAGAGCCGCCTGCCCCAGGACACAGTGCCCAGCCAGAGCCGCCTGTCCCAGGGCACAGTGCCCAGCCAGAGCCACCTGCTCCTGGGCACAGGTGCCCAGCCAGAGCCGCCTGCCCCAGGACACAGTGCCCAGCCAGAGCCGCCTGCCCCTGGACACAGTGCCCAGCCAGAGCCGCCTGTCCCAGGGCACAGTGCCCAGCCAGAGCCGCCTGCTCCTGGGCACAGGTGCCCAGCCAGAGCCGCCTGCCCCAGGGCACAGGTCCCAGCCAGAGCCGCCTGCCCCTGGACACAGTGCCCAGCCAGAGCCGCCTGCCCCTGGGCACAGGTCCCAGCCAGAGCCGCCTGCCCCAGGGCACAGTGCCCAGCCAGAGCCGCCTGCCCCAGGACACAGTGCCCAGCCAGAGCCGCCTGCCCCAGGGCACAGGTCCCAGCCAGAGCCGCCTGCCCCTGGACACAGTGCCCAGCCAGAGCCGCCTGCCCCTGGGCACAGGTCCCAGCCAGAGCCGCCTGCCCCAGGGCACAGTGCCCAGCCAGAGCCGCCTGCCCCAGGACACAGGTCCCAGCCAGAGCCGCCTGCCCCAGGGCACAGTGCCCAGCCAGAGCCGCCTGCCCCAGGACACAGTGCCCAGCCAGAGCCGCCTGCCCCTGGGCACAGGTCCCAGCCAGAGCCGCCTGCCCCAGGACACAGTGCCCAGCCAGAGCCACCTGCCCCAGGACACAGTGCCCAGCCAGAGCCGCCTGCCCCAGGACACAGTGCCCAGCCTAGCCCGGGCGGCTGGGCTTCCCTCGGACCACCCAGCTGCCGGCCAGGTAGCTGACCCCATTCTTCCTGCTGCTCTGGTGCCGCACAGGGACACCGCAACAAACGTAACGCTCCCTGCTGACCCCGTCCAGCCGTGGGACCCTGAGCTCACCGGGGCCACCGGCGTCCTAGGGGAAGAGGCGCGATGCCCTTCCTTACTACCCATCTTCCCGACCCAGAATAAACCAGTCCTGGTGTGGGGGCCGTGCGGAGAGGTGCATGTGTCGACGTTGGGTGGGCATCTAAGGGCGTGGCCTAGCTGGGTGGGTGGGGCCCCTGCTGGGGTGGGTGTGACTTAGGTGGTGCAGGGGTATCTTGACCAGGTGGGTGTGGCTGTGCACGGCAGGCGGGGATTTTGCGTAGTAAGCCAATGTAAGCTGGCCTGGCATGGTGGGCATGGCCCAAACCCAATGGCTCTGCCTTCCTGTGGGCGTGGCCCAACCCCAAAGGCTCTGCCTTTCTGTGGGCATGGCCGAGTGTAGGCATGGATTGGGCACTGTGGGTGGGGCCTGGTCTGGGACGTGGCCTGGAACAGAAGCTGTGACCAGGTTTGGGGTGTGGCCTATCCCGGGGGTGTGGCCCTCCCTGGGGGCTTGGACTGTCCGGGGGAGGGGGCTTGGCTTGTCCCAGGGCGTGGCCTGTCTCAGGGACCTGTCCTGTCCTGGGGGCATGGCACGGCCAGGGGGCGTGACCTGCCCCGGGGCGTGGCCTGCCCGGGGGCGTGGCCTGTCCCAGGGGCGTGGCCTGCTGGGGGGGAGCGTGGCCGTCCCAGGGGTGTGGCCTGTCGGGGAGGGGCGTGGCCTCCCGGGGGCGTGGCCTGTCCCAGGGACATGGCCTGTCCCGGGCGTGGCCTGCTGGGGGGGAGCGTGGCCGTCCCAGGGGTGTGGCCTGTTGGGGATGGGCGTGGCCTCCCGGGGGCGTGGCCTGTCCCGGGGCATGGCCTGTCCCAGGGACGTGGCCTGTCCCGGGCGTGGCCTGCTGGGGGGGAGCGTGGCCGTCCCAGGGGTGTGGCCTGTCGGGGAGGGGCGTGGCCTCCCGGGGGCGTGGCCTGTCCCGGGGCATGGCCTGTCCCAGGGACGTGGCCTGTCCCGGGCGTGGCCTGCTGGGGGGGGGAGCGTGGCCGTCCCAGGGGTGTGGCCCGTCGGGGAGGGGCGTGGTCGTCCCTGGGGGGGCGTACCCGCGTGGCGCACAGGTCCTGCGGCTTGGTGGACAGGTTCTGCGGCATCTCGCGGCAGCGCGTGGACAGGTTGAGGATGGCGGTGGCCGCCATGTGCGCCGCCTCCATGTCGTGCGTGTAGTCGAAGCTGCTCTTGCTGCATGTGCTGCTGGCGCTGCTGCCACCGCCGCAGCTCAGGTTGCTGCTGCTGCTGGGCGCGTAGCTGCTGGTGGTGCTGCTGCTGGGGCTGGCGTTCTTGCAGTACCGCTTGGCTGCGGGGACAGGGCGGCGGTCAGCGCGGCGCGGCGGCCAGCGGCC